GGCAGAAGACGGACTTAGAAGCCTTCTAGTGTGGTGTTTCTGACTATTCCTTTCTCTCCCTCTCCAGTGTCTACTCTGAGCTCCCTGGTCAGGGAAGCGCCGGAAGTCCTCTCCCTAACACATTAACTTTTATGTTGTGCTTTTATTTCTGTAGGCCATAGTCTGGCTTTTCTGTAAAATTGATTTTTAAAAAGTTAGGTTTATGGGACTGCACTTTGAAAATGTGAAGGAAATTGATCATATTCAAGGAAAGTATACATTGGCCAAAAGTGATTCAATTGCAGTAGGAAACCTGACAAGACCAGAAACTACAGAAGAACGTGAAAAGATTGTGAAGTCTAAATCTAAAGAGATACTGGGGTCGTATGGTGTTACTGGTACATTCTGTAATTTTAAGGAGTGGGTAATTCTAAAATTTAGTGAAATATTCCAGAGCAGATGAGAGAATGGAAATCCTCCAGTACGTTTGACCAAATTCCCATAATGCTAATACTAAAGCTTTTAGAAATAGAGCAACAGTTCATCAGGTATTTTATTAAAATCAGGTATTTTATTAAAAGAGTAGTACACAATCACTTTTTATTTAAATAAGACATGAAAAACTCAATAATGTAATTGTGTCTAGTTGTATACATATATATGTTGTTAAGTGCCATCGATTCGGTTCCAACTCATGGTGACCCTGTATAGGGTTTCCAATATTTTTTAATGTTTGTAGGAGCAGAAAGCCTCGTCTTTCTCCCGAGGAGTGGCTGGCAACCTTGAGCCGTGGACCTTGTGGTTCATGGTCTGGTTCTTATTGTGTAGAGCTTCTGAAAGTTTGTGAGAAAATGGGAGTAGAATTCTGTCACATAATCCCTTATGTGGGGCATAATAGATGTTCATTTAGTGCAAAGATTCACAGAATCTTTGGGAACCCTGTGGGGCAGTTCTTCTCTGCCCTGCAGGGCCAGTATGTGTCAAAATTGACTCAGTGGGAGTGTCCTCTAATGGATTTTATTCTTAAAAATAGTGGTAGATAATATTTGTTTTCCCTCTACTTTCCTCAGACTAGACTTATCAAAACACCTTGAAGTATGTGTATGAAATACTCATGTAGTTTCTGGCCATGTTCTTTATTGGAATGGTGTTTTTTTTTTCTCCAGTGAACAGTTGGGAGATGAAAGAAGTCATGTGACCTAAATTGCCATCTTTATGTTTTTACTTTGCAGTTTACTTTAAAGAGCGAGTCCATGCTGTATGCAGATTTTTTGTTGTTGTTAGGTGCTGTTTAGCCAGTTTTGACTCATAGCAACCCTATACACACAGAATGAAACACTGTCCAGTCTTGTGCTATCCTCACAATTAAACCTGATCTCATTGTTACTACAACTGTGTCATTCCATCTCGTTGGGGTGAAGAGGGTTGGAGATGGGGGTGGGGGTGGGAGAGCAGCTTCCTCTTTTTTACCGACACTTCACTTTACCAAGCATGAGGTCCTTCTCCAGGGACCAGTCCCTCCTGATACCATATCTGAAGTATGCGAGACAAAGTCTTGCCATCATGGTTTCTAAGGAGCATTCACACTGTACTTCTTCCAATACAGATTTGTTTGTTCTTCTGGCAGTCCATGGTACTTTTAATATTATTCAGTGTCATAACTCAAATGTATCAATTCTTCTATGGTCTTCTTTATTCATTGTCCAACTTTCATATGCATATGAAGTGATTAAAAATACTATGGTTTGGGTCAGGTGGGCCATAGACCTCAATTTGATCTTTGGTCTTCACTTTAAAGAGATCTTGTGCAGCACATTTGCCTAATTCCTTGACTGCTGCTTCTATTAGTATTGATTGTGAATTCAGGCAAAATGAAGTCTTTGACAACTTCAATCTTTTTTACCATTTGTCATGATGTTATTTATTGGTCCAGTTGTGAGCATTTTTCTTTATATTGTTTTCTTTACATTGTTTACATTGAGATACAATCCATATTGAAGGCTGTGGTCTTTGATCTTCGTCAGTAAGTATTTACAATTCTCTTCACTTCCAGCAAGTAAGGTTGTATCGTATGCATATGGAAGGTTGTTAATGAGTCTTCCTCCAATTCTGATGTCACATTCTTCATATAATCCAGTTTCTTGGATTATTTGCTCAGCATAGTATGGTGAACAGATGCAGTGCTGGCACACACCTTTCTTGATTTAAAACCATTCAGTATCTTCTTGTTCTGTTTGAATAACTGCTGCTTAGTCAATATACAGTAATGTATAGATTCCTCATGAGCACAATGAAGTATTCTGTGATACCCATTCTTTGTAAAGTCCATAGTTTGTCCTGATTCACACAGTCAGAAGCCTCTGCATAGTCAATATAAAGCATAAATAAACATCTTTCTGGTATTCTCTGCTTTCAGCTAAGATCCATCTGATGTCATCAATAATAATATCCCTAGTTCCACATCTTTTTCTGAATCTGGCTTGAATTTCTGGTAATACTGTCAGTTTATTGTTTTAACTTGAATGATCTTAAGTAGAATTTTTTTTTTTAAGTGTTTGTTTTGAATTATGTGATCGTTTACATGGGAGAACATTAGTTTTACATTCATCCTATTGTGTATCGTTTCATTGCCATGGTTACAGTCCCCTCAGTGTATCATCAACCAACCAAAGGGTATACCCTGTAAGCCTGTTCCTGGTCATCAGCACACAGTCCCTCTCTCTCGCTGGGTCCAGAGTCTCCGGTCATTGCCTCTGTCTCCATCTCTGGTGTCACTGCTTCTCTGGGTAGGGTCTCACACTACGCTCTTCTCCCTTGATGGTTCCAGGGACCTCAGCTCCTGGACTGCAAAGTCAGTTACTCCCCTCTTTTTGCAACAAAATGTACACCTTTATATTTCCAACACTCACAGTCAGTCCTGATAACAATTATTCACCATTGTACCACAAGGGACCTATCCACATCTCCTTTCATCAGCCCTGCCCAGACAGATTGGATACTACTCAGTGGAGATTCTACTTTCCTCTGTGCCCTCTGGATCTAGCACTAGGCTTCCTCCTTAAAGCTTGTAAGCCAGTCACTTCTTGCCTTTGTAGCCCCCCCTCCCCATATTAGGTAGCCAATGTCCAAGTTGCCCATCCCTGTCTACTCTGTATGGAGAGGGGTTGGGAATGATCCTTGCTGTAAAGATTTGTTCCCTCTTTTGAGCTACTGCATCCATAGGTGTAGGCCAAGTTCATCAAATTGTAACAGATTATTCTTTTTTTCCTCTTCTTTCATCTTCCAGGTCAAGTGTGTGATCTTAAGTAGAATTTTACTTGGCATATAATGTTAATGATAATTGTTTAATGATTTTTGCATTTCATTGCATCACCTCTCTTTGGAATGGGCACAAATTGAGATCTCTTCCTATCAGTTGGTCAGGTAGCTGGTTTCCATGTTTCTTGGCATAGATGAATAAGAACCTCCATTTCTGCATCAGTTTGTTGAAATATTTCAATTTGTAGTCCCATCAGTTATCCCTCAGCACCACAAGGTGGAATTGAAAATATTAATTTAAAATGGATTTTCAATTTAAGTCTAAAGTCACCCTAGTTAGATAAGCTCTGTTATCATAATGGATACGAATCGGGCTGTGAACCTCAAGGTCAGCAGTTTGAAACTACCAGCTGCTTCGTGGGAGAAAGATGAGGCTTTCTGCTCCTGTGAAGATTTACAGCCTCAGAAACCCTGTACAGGGTTGCTATGGGTTCGAACCAACTCAATGGCTCTTAACAACAGCAATAACTACATCATCTAGATGTGTTTTCACTACCACAGATTTATAACAAGTCCTGATGGGTGCTGTAGGATAAGCACTGGACTGCTAACCACAAGGTCAGTGGTTTAAGCCCACTTGCTGCTCCTCAGAAACTCTATACAGGGTCGCTATGAGTCAGAACTGAGTCAACAGCACTTAACAACAATAACCACAGATTTGTAGAACATTTTATAGGATATCTCTACTATATGTTTTCGTATTTAATCCTTACATTGCTGTAAATGAGATAGGAAAGTACTAATTTTTTCTTCCATTTTACAGATGAAGAAACCAAGACATGGATTTGAGGCTTGTCTGAAGTAACAGCCGTAAGTGCTTAAATTAACAAAGGTGTGTAGTAATGGGTACAGTACAGTCTGTCTAGGCTTTTCTTCACTGCCATCTGCTTGAATTTCTGTGAATAGAGAAACCAAATAATCAAATGGTAGAGAACCAGAAAGGTAATATGTAGACTGATGAACTACTATTTGTTTATTTAATTGTTTGGGTTCTTTTTTCACCAGTTAGCACTTACTGAAGAAGCAGATGCTATCTTTTTGTTGTTGTTATATCAATGAAATTTTTATTGCAAACGTAGTTTATCTCTGAGGCATTAAGGAAGTGGAAAATCTAGAGAGAAATCTGTTGGTATCCTTTTGGGTATTAGCTATGAAACCCGCTAAGAAATTAACTTAATGATACATAGGTAAAACCTATGTGAGTCAATTTTTAGGGCTGCCTTGATAACATTTTTAAAATTCTATTAAAAATTATAGTATCAATTTAATATAAACATTTTCAAGCTTGAATGCATTTATCCAACTATGGTTTTCTTCAGATGAGGAAAAATAGAGAAGTTGAAACTTGCTTCAAATTACAGAGCAGAGTTAGAAATAGAGCTTGCATTTCTTGACTCCCAAATATTGTTATTTTTACTTCAAACTACTGCTTCTTGATAAGCTATTTTTAAAATACTTAGCAGGTCTTTTAAATCTTTTGCTTATATGTTTGATAAACTGTCATATACTTTGTGTCAAATGAGCTTAAAGATACTTTATTCACTGATATTTTTGTGATGAAAATTTCAATTACTTTTTTAATTTTAGGTGAGTGAGAGAAATCCTGGTTATTTTGAAGATGTCTCAACACAATATTGTTTCATGTTTAAATTTCAAATAACTTCAAGAAAGAAAAAAAAGAAGTTGGGATTTTTTATTAAATCATGCCATCTGAACAAAAACAATTGTTTTGTGATGAAAAGCACACAATTTTACAAAAGGATTATGATTTGAAAAATGAGGTAGTAGATACTATCAGATCAGCACCTAAACCAAGTATTTCAGAAAATAGTTGCCATTATGAACTAAGAAATGTGAAAATTGATTTGCCGAAGATAAATATTCCAAATCAAGTCTTACTGAAGCATGAAACTGACAAATTCAGAAAATTATTTCAGAGTAAACCACAGACTGCAAGAAAATCTATTCGTGTAAAGACTGTAAGCTGTGTTGAAGAGTGCATGTTGTTTCATAAGGCTGAGGTAACTGAAGAGCAGGATATAAAAATGTCTGCAAAAATACTCAATTTCAACTGTTCAAAATGCCTAGACAACACTCGATATAGCCCGAACGATTTGCAGAAACACTTTCAAATGTGGCATCGTGGTGAATTACCTTCCTATCCTTGTGAAATGTGCAGTTTTTCAGCAAATGACTTCCAGGTATTTAAACAACACAGACGCACCCATAAAAGCACTTTCGTAAAATGTGACATTTGTAATAATGGGACAGTATATACTTTACTGGACTTGACAAAGCATTTCATATCCACACATTGTGTTAATGGTAATTTTCAGTGTGAAGGGTGCAAATTCTCCACCCAGGATGTTGGCACATTTGTTCAGCATATTTATAGACATAATGAAGTTCATTATAAATGTGGTAAATGCCATCATGTATGTTTTTCCAAAGGAGAGCTTCAGAAGCACCTTCATGTTCATTCGAGTCCATTTCCCTACTCTTGTCAGTATTGTGGCTATGGTGCCACCAGGAGAGAGTATCTTATAAGACATGTTATGACTTTCCACAAAGAACATTTATATGCAAAAGAAAAGCTGGAAAAAGAGAAATATGAAAAAAGGATAGCAAAGACTTCAGGACTTAAGCTAATACTGAAAAGATACAAAATAGGTGCATCAAGGAAGACATTTTGGAAACGTAAGAAAATTAACAATGGAAGTGATGGAAGTATAGAAAAAAACACACAAGTACTTAAAACAAACAAAACAGAGAATAAGGACCAGAGCTGTCTTGTTCAAGAACATTTAAATGAAAAAAAGGATGAAAGAATACACCCTGAGAAGAGTGATAAACCTATGGAGGTACATTCAGACAAGCCAGCTATTCTGACTACTGCACAGTGTAATAGAGCTGAAGAGGGAGCAAATTCTACTTTAGGCTCCTTGTTGAAGACTTCTTCTATTCAAGGACCTACAGTGTTAATGGTGAAAAATAATAGAATAACAATCCCTGCAAACTACAGTGCTAAGTTTATGGGCTTCAAAATGGTAGATGGAAAACAACATATTGTAATAAAATTGTTGCCTGCCAATAAACAGAGTTTATATTCCCCAGGCTCACAGTCAGATGCTTCTAAGGACAGTACTGCTAATTCGCAGCCTCAGACTTTGGACACTACTGGATTTTTATCTGCAGGAGTAGCAGCTGGTTTAAATGACACAGTTTGCATGAAAACAACTACACTTTCATGTTCATCTCATATACTTTCAGGAAAAGTAACTTCAGAAAAAGAAATGACGTCGATATCTCAAGTGAATAATATGATTCAGACAGTGGATGATGAAAAGAGTGTACCTTTTTTACCAGCAACACCAGAATTTGTCACAGCATCTGTGAATTTGACCACAAAAGTTGAAATGAGAGATAATGTTGATTTATGGGGAAATCATGTTACTGAGAGGCACCCTCAGGTATTAGGTACTATTATTAAAAGTCCAGAGAAAGTCAACTATACTATCAAATCAAATGCATGCAGCAGTAGAGATATGCATAACTATTGCATTAATTATGTCAATTCTGAGTTACCTGTTGAATCTTCCAATCAGGGATCATTACCTTTTCACAATTATTCAAAAGTGGATAATTGTAATAAATACAGGTTTTCAGGAACAGCAGTGTGTGAAAATCCTCAAAGTGAATCTTCGTCAAGCAAAATGATGGCTCAGCATCCAATAAGTGAATCCGTTTTATCACTAGTAAAGAAGGAGAGCTCAAATCCAGGGAGTAGTTTAGCATCTATTAGCCTTTTAAATACAAAATGTAGAACTCTAAAAACGCAGGCTGAAATTGAAGAACACTGTGATTCAGGAAACAGAGAAGACATCGATGGACAGAACCTATACACTAATGAAAATCAAAGTTTAGAGAATGTAACTGAGAAACCTAAATGGGATAACATTTCTAGTCTTGATTCACCTATGATGCCAAGAATTACATCTGTGTTCTCTCTCCAGAGCCAGCAGGCTTCAGAATTTTTGCCACCTGAAGTAAACCAGTTACTTCAAGATGTATTAAAAACAAAATCTGATGTAAAACAAGACTGCAGTAGCACTCCAAATAAAGGCCTCCCATTTCACGGTGACCAGTCATTTCAGAAACCTGAGGGAGAGGGCAAAATAGTTGTATCATCAAAAGACTTGAAAGTGCAAGGCGTGTTCCCAATCCCATCTGGCATTATTGGTGCTAATGAGCCGACAAATGATCTAAATTTAAAATGCAATGGAAAACAAGTTCTATCGATGTCACAAAATGTGAGAGATTCAGAGAAATCACCGAGAATTTCAGGAATTGGCACATTACATAAGACTCAGTCAGATGCAATAATAACACAACAGCTTGTAAAAGACAAACTGAGAGCCACTACCCAAAATTTAAGTCCTTTATATGTACAGAATCCACTTCTAAATTCAGAACAAAAACAAGCTATATATGTTCAGACTCCAAAAGGCCTTTTTGTTCCATTGCACGTTGCTAATAAGCCTGGATTACACGTCATTTCAGGAAGACCACTGTCACTGGTTAATACACAATGTGTACCTGCTTCTCTCTTAGTAAACAGTAAACCTGGAATGATTTTAGCTTTCAATAATAGGAAACTTGACAGTGTTTCCGGAGTCAGAACTGAGAGTGCTCAGTCTTGTGGCGGCATTATGACTGAGGAACCTTGCAGAACACCTTTTTTAAAGGTAGAGCCAAGGAGCGGTTGTCTTACACCTGTCCTTTGTTCCAGTATTGGTAGTTGTTTGAACATGAAAAGTAACTCAGAAAGCAATTTGTCATTAAAAGGCCCTTGTATTATTAAAACAACAGCACATTCTTCAGGGAAAGCTCCCCCTCCTCCTCCTCCTCCTCCTCCTCCTATGTTAGCTGAGTATCAAGGCACTACGTTGAATATCTTGGATTCAGTAAAACAGCAGAATGAGGTTTGTCCGAGACCCCCTCTGTACACCCTTTTGCCTGATGGCAAGCAAGCTGTTTTTTTAAAGTGTGTGATGCCAAATAAAACTGAGCTGCTTACGCCGAAAATAGTCCAAAATAGTACTTACTATCAAAATATACAGCCAAAGAAACCTGAAGGAACACCACAAAAAATATTGCTGAAAATTTTTAACCCTGTTTTAAATGTGAGTGCTACTAGTAATCTGTCAGTAAGCCACTCTACATCTTCATTACAAAAGGCCAATGTACCTTCTAGTCAAACTACGGAAGGAGGTCAGAAAGAGCCAGAAGCTTCTAGAGATGCCTTACCTTTCTTATTAGATGATTTGATGCCAGCAAATGAAATTGTAATAGCTTCTACGACAGCATGCCCAGAATCTCCCAAGGAGCCAGTGTGTATCACCAATTGTTCAGATGCCAGGGTGTTAAGGTCTAAAATAGATTGTACAAATGAGAGACACTTCAATAGAATCAAGGCTTCTAAAAGAAAATTTTCAAGAATAAAAACACGTGTAGGAAATAAAGAATCTGAAACTGCCTTTGTAACTAGAGACAGAAACTGTAAACGAAAATATAGGGATAGTTACCAAGAACCTCCTAGGAAAAAAGCGACATTGCATAGAAAATGTAGAGAAAAGGCCAAGTCTGCTGCATTCCATGAAACATTGGGACCTAGGTTTTCAAAAGATACAGTCAGAACTTTGCGCCTTTTCCCCTTCAGTTCCAAACAGCTTGTGAAATGTCCTAGGAGAAACCAGCCTGTTGTAGTTTTGAATCATCCAGATGCAGATGCACCGGAAGTAGTAAATGTAATGAAAACTATTGCTAAATTTAATGGACGTGTACTTAAGGTTTCATTGTCAGAAAGAACTATGAATGCCTTATTGAAACCAGTTTGCTGTAGCCCTTCTAAAACAACTTATATTGAGTTTTCCAAGAGGCAAAAAACATTTACACCTCTTAGTTCTGTGAAAGAAAGGTTTGTACTGAAATTAACCCTCAAAAAGACAAGCAAAAATAATTATCAGATTGTGAAAACTACCTCTGAACATATTCTGAAGGCTAAGTTTAGCTGTTGGTTTTGTGGTCGAGTGTTTGACAATCAGGATGCTTGGGCTGGTCATGGACAGAGACATTTAATGGAAGCTACTCGGGATTGGAATACGTTGGAATAATTTACCATAATTACCAAGAAAAAGGAAAGTAAAATTAGAAGAAACAGTACGTAGATTGATCATAATGCAGATATTTTCTACTTCAAAATGATACCTGAAGTGAGATGTTTTCACAGTTGGTTATACGTATTTCAGTGGGAGAACATAAGTTTTATGTGAGATAATTTGATAATGTCAGCACTGTATGCTGAGGTTTTGAAAGAAACTAATCACAGCACAGATGTACCCTGATTTATGTTCTTGGGAAGTTAGGGCTAAAGAAGACTTTTATACAATAGTTTTATTTTCTCAATTTATATTAAAAATATGACTCAGTAGAGGGTGACAGCTGATAGCCCTATTCCCTCTCTTTCACCAGCCTTATGAATCTGATAAGTATCGCTTCTGTGAAGGTAGGAAGCTCTCTCCACCATGCAATTCAGAGTTGCTCATTTGTGCAGATATACTGAGAGCTTTGGAAAGAACTTACTGTACATCTGGTAAAGTTCTTTTGAAGGGTATAGGATCCTTTGAGAGTATATATAATTTACTCCAATTCACCTCATTATATGCTTGAGAAGTTTTAGGTAAGTAAATCTAATTTTTTCTAAAAACATAAATCCTTTTTCCTGATTAAATTAATATCCCATGTTAGAGATTGGAACACCTTCCCAAAGTGATTTTCTTACCTTTCTAAATGGCTTTGTCAAGCACTGCAGTAAGTTGGAAGCCTAGAAAGAAGAATTAAACTCTTAGTCTAGTTAAGAAACTAGGTAACTAACTTGAACATTTCTCTGAATTTAACTATAGTCTCTTGTGATTCCCTAGCAAAAAACTATTCTTACCTGATACAAATCATTTCTTATCCCATAAACCAAATGGCCATTTTTTTTTTTCTTAAGTTGCCACCCTTTTAAAAAAGTGGAACATAGAAGCACTTCCAAGGGAGTGGCTTTTCTGAAAATTAAAGATTAGTCTATAGAAATAAATTTTTAATTTTTGTATATTTTAATTACTGCTAGTATAGGAACATGACCAAATTGAAACAAACCACTTTATTAGCAACTTTTAGTATGACCGACAAAGCCAGTTTTTACTGAGTGTTGGCAGTTGAAAATGGGTACACAGTGACAGTGCACAGAACTTCAGGACAGATTCCTAAGGAACATACTCCGCAGGAGGAGTTAGAGTGATGTCTCCATGACAGCAACAGAACCATCAATTGATACTTTTGACTTTGTAGGTTTGGATCGAATTTTCTTGGATCATTGAAAAATGGCATTCTTGAATTATTACAAAGATGCTATGTGATTTTTGTTACATTGTTACTACAAGTGTTAATGTCATTTTGGTTTGGATTAAAACTTCAGGGCTTCTTTTCTGTATATAAAAAGGTATTTTTTTTGTACCTTTTAGTTTGATATGTAAATTTTGCACAGAAAGGTTTTGACATAAGCTTTATTTCATTTAGTTCTGTGCATGCACTAATATAACTGGTTATTTAATTTAAAAGGAATATGTAAGCCGTTTTACCCATGCTTTTTTTTTTTTTTGGTTTTTATTTCTGATGTAAAATTTTTTTTTTTGTAAATTCATTTTTCAGGGATTGAACACTATTGTTAGCAAGTGCCTAAAAATGTGAAACAGTTTACATATGTCAACTGTAAAAGTAGGTCCCAACTGGGCCCATTTCCCCAATAGTTTTATTTTTAAAAAAGCCATATGTAGATGCTTCAAGCTATCCTGCTATGCACATTATACTAGTACTGTTTTTGTGCAGTTTGTCTACTTTCTTAGTGAAGTATTTTTTGTATAAAATCTGTTACAATTGTGTTTTTTTAAAATTTGAGCCTAAGAATGGAGCTGATTGAAACATAAAAGTTATATTAATAATGTTTTGATGTTTTAAAGAATGATAAGCATTGCTACTTTCTGTAATGAAACTTTTCTTCAATTAAATTTATCTTAAGCTCGTGTTTACCCAAGATTTTCTTTTACTGTACCAGAATCTAATGGAAATTTTATTCTAGTGGGAAGTTACCTAGATTTCAGTGTTTAGTTTTTGAAATGTGGGACTCCTCCCCCAAATTCTAGGTAAAATTTTGTCTTTAGGATAGCATCACAATTTTACTATGGTTGTGCCTGTAAGGCAAGCTACATAGAGGCCAATGCATGCTAGTAACTTAACATCAAGAAAATTGAAATGCACCTTTAATGAGCAGTTGTGAACAGAGAGGGCAAGAAGGAACTACCTGGTCAATATATGCTGCAGTATAAAAATCTAGTTCTTTGTCAAAAACACCAATCCAGTAAGGAAAATCTAATTTGAGATACATGCTAATACCTATTGCCTTAAAGTTTTAAAAGTTGCTTCAAATTAGCTTCCTGAGTTAGAAAACCGTCATTAAAATAAACATGACAACAGTAAAACTAGTTTAGGGAAAAGAGGAGGATCAGTATGCAGTTGATAAATGGACTGTTTTCAATAATAACACAGGAATGAAATGCAGACAATCAAAACTACCCTTCAGGGGTCCAAGCAACTATTAAAATATGTTAGAGAACTAAGGGAAACCATGTTTAAAGCATTAAAGAAAAATGTGTTGGCAATACCTATTTAAATAGAGACTATTGGTAGATTATAAAAAATGAAATGGTGGAGTTGAAAAGTAGAGTCATTGGTAAAGTTCACTAGAGGTACTCAATAGTGTGAGCTCCTAGAAAAAAATCTGCAAGCTTGAAAGTAGGTCCATACAGATTACGCAGACTGAAGAATATAGAAAAAAAAAGTAAAGATTTGCACCAAAAACAACTAAATTAAAAATACAGATTATATATCTAAAGTGGAAACAAAACACAAGAAAATATTTACCGTCATGTGCTTTAGTTAGACAAAGCTACTTTCAACATAACAAAAAGTACATTTCTAAAAAGCATGTATAGTATTTTAATTACTAGTGATTCTTTGCAGATGATTTGTAGTTTTTAAATTCAAATACCTCACTTGTATTTCTTCCATACTTCAGTACCCTCCACATTGTTTTCCTTTATATCAATTCCCTTTTTATTGGTCAAATGTGGAATTTTAAATGGCATTTTTATGTAAAAATTTAGAATATACAATTCAGTGATTTCTTAGTATATTTAATATTTTGCAGCTGTCAGCATTAAATCCAGAATATTTCCATAACATCCTCCCCAAATTCCATACTTGGTATCAGTCATTCCTATTTTTTCCCACCTGTTGTTTGGATTGATGAACAATTTGGCTGATTCTGCTGCTTGTTTATTATGAAGAATATGAACATTTGTGTACAGGTTTTTGTGTGAATGAATGTATCCAATTCCCTTGAGTTGATATCAAGGAATTGCTGGGTTACATGGTAATTCTATGTATAACTTTTTGAGGAACTGCAAATTATTTAATATAGCAGCTGTGTCATTTTATGTTCCTACCAACAACGTATGAGAGTTATAATTTCTACATATTCTTGCCAACACTTGTTATTTTTATTTTCATTAAAAAAAAAAAGCCCATACTCCAGTGGGTGTATATCATTGTTGCTTTGTGGATTAATGCGCTGGTATGTGAGGTTGGTTTGAACCACAAGGTTGGTGATTCAAGCTCACTAGCCGCTCCTCGTAAAGTCTATACAGGGTTGCTGCTAGTCAAAACCAACTTGACGGCACCTCACAACAACAACAACAAATGACTGGTGATATTGAAGTTTTAAAAATTTGTACAAATATGGATCTCTTCCAGTAAGTTGACCAGCTAGCTCTTTTCCAAATTTCCTGGCATAGATAGTTTCCAGTGTTGCATCAATTTGTTGAAAGATTTCAGTTTGTATTCCATCAATTCCTGGAGCCTTGTTCTTTACCAGTGTCTTCAGTGCACCTTGGCCTTCTTCCTTGAGTACCATTGGCTCTTGATCATATGCTACCTCTTGAAATGGTTGAGCATCGTCCATTTCTTTTTAGTTCAGTGACTGTGTATTCCTTTTTTTGATGCTTTCTGCATCGTTCAATATTTTTCCCATAGAACCTTCAGTATTGCAAGTGGAGACTTGAACTTTTTCTTCAGTTTGTTTTAGCTTAAAAAATGCGGAGCATGTTCTTTCCTTTTGGCTTTCTTTAACTCCATGTCTTTGCACATTTCATTATAATACTTGACTTGGTATTCTTGAGCTGCCCTGTGAATTTTTCTGTTCCGCTCTTTTACTTCATCATTTCTTCCATTTGCTTTAGCATCTTTCTTTGTACTGGAGAGCAAGTTTCAGAATGCAGAAATAATTGGACAGTATTAATATCACATGCAAGCAAAATTTTGGTATTTCAAAAATAGCTATTAAAAAAAAAAAAGCTATAACAGTACTTTCACAGGGAACTGCCAGAGGTTCAAGTTGCATTCAAACGAAGATGTGGAATGAGGAATGTCACTGCTGATGTCAGTTGGATCTTGACTGAAATCAGAGAATACCAGAAAAATGTTTACTTGTGTTTTATTGATTATGCAAAGGCTTTTTTCTTTAAGCTTTTATTTTGAAATGAGTGATAGCTTACAACCAGTCATTTTGTTTCATTGCTGTGATTACAATCCCTTCCGTGCACCATCAGTTAACAGTTGTTGTCGTCAGGTGCCATCGAGTCGGAACCGACTCATAGTGACCCCATGCACAGCTGAACGAAACAATGTCCGATCCTGGGCCAACCTCACTACCGCCGCCACACT